CAAAATAAAATAACAAGCGCTATAGTCATTTTGGGATAAGGCGAAAGTACCAGAGTTAGATTGCTACCGATTGAACTATACGAAGGTTGATTGCAAATTTATACTTTAAACTGCTGGTTCTTAATTAGCTCTTGCATTGCAATCGTGTGGCCTGCTTCCGAAACCTATTAAAAATCAGCTTCTCAAATTGGTATTGGTTATCAATTCAAGGCTCTATGTTATAGAATATTTTCTCTATAGAAGAAATATTATGTTAATTTATAAAGTTCGTCATGAATGTAACACTTGTCTTCATTCTTAACTGTGTGTTTATTTGATGGAGAGAAAAATGGATTGATCAATAACTGTGTTTTCATTCATTAATTCAACTAACGGTTGATAGTTAGGGCATGTTTTAAGCGTTTTTTTTTTTCAGCATGTTTGATAATAAAACTTGAACCTCTTAATTAATTTAGTGATGCTGAAAGTACAGTATAAAATATAAACAATAAAAATTAGTTTATTGTTTATTTCGTAACTATTTAAAAAATTCAGTATTTCTAATTTATTATTAACAGAATTAGCACTAATTTTTATCAAACAGCTCTTTATTGATGGAATTACAATGCCGATTGTTCATATTTCCTTTTTGCATTTTTCCCCCCTTTCAGATCTAAGGTGTCGCATCAGTTATGAAGATCAACTACATGTCGGTCTTACCCAAAACTATGCGGTATGATATCAAGCGTCAACGAAGGGTCCACATGAAAATTGAAGCTTACTACTAGAATGCTTTTTCAACCATTAAGTTATATCCAAAGGATCTTACTCTTAAATTGTTTCAACATTCGTCTGTAGCAGCCCAACCACTAACAAATTTCGGCTAGCTATAGTAATTATAATTAATTAATTAATAAACGCGCGTCTTCATGCGCGTTCTGTATAATAGTACTAGTAACAAGTAGCAACCCAAATCATTGATTTGTTGTGATGAGGCTCAACTCCAATTAAATTATGATGAATCCTCGATAAAGAATAAAGTTGGGGTACTAGATGATAAAATTTGGAGTAGAACTCGGGAAGAAACGGAAACATATTTTAATGCGTAGTTATCTAGTCATTTTGCTTAACTAATTCTACACGTCCAACCTTGATCAACTTCCCATAGAGACATTTTACATCATCGTACTTTATGTTAACTTGTTTTGAACGAATGGTCGAGGATTGGACCTTCTTCATGTGTATGATGATCATTGTTTATTGTTTATCGTGTAAAAGGTCGCCAAGAAAAAGATAAAGACCGCAGTAGCTTTTTTTTATTTTTTCATTCTAAAATAAGTGATTTAGATACTATAATTATAAATTAACTTAACTTTTAATCATATATTAATTAACTTAACTACTATTATTTTATATAAAAAAATTTCCAACATATTTTAATTACTATTTCACTAATTTTACTAAACAATTATAAAACATACTACCTTAATTAATAAAAAGAATCATTTTGATAATAATTAACTTAATTTCACCAAAATTTATTTACTAATTTAACAAATAATAATAATAATAATAATAATAATAATAATTAAGTAAACATTAACAATATTAAACAATTAAAAGAATATTATAAGGAAAAATTTTGGTCTAAAGGGACGGTGACTTTGGCAGCTTGTGTATTCAGGGCTGGTGACCCTACCGTCTCATTTTGCACGGGCCGCCAGATTCTATGGGTAGTGTGTTCAGAGTCCGTAACTTCAACGGCCCAAGATTTTTTTTATTTTTTTTAAATTATATTTATTAATTTTATTTAGTTAGTTTATTATTTCATCATACATTATTACATCATAATTATATATAATAGGGTTAATTCAGATTATATTCATTTTAATCTGTCATATTATTATAGTAATTCCATTAATTACTAAACAATATTCAAATTATTAACAAATAAACTATATATTTCTAGATTATTTCTTTATTTATAAACTTAATACGTCTATGAATCTTCTTTGCATATATCGATTATACAATAATTAATCATTAAGTTATTTAATAACTAACTATATTTTGTAATAAATTAAAAAATAATAAAATATACTAAATAAAATAAATTACTGAATTGAAAGAAAAAAAATTAATTAAAAAATAATAAATAATTAAAATAAAAATTATTCCAAAAAAAAGCCCGAAAATAACAAGACGGCGATCGTGCGCATGCCGCCCTTTTCTTTCTGGGATGTCAGGCCGGTCGGCCGGCCACTTTTAGGACGTCACCTCTATCGGCCGACCAGTTTTTAGATTTAGGAAAAAAAAATTCGAATTCAAATAAATAGCTATTTTACCACAAAACATGTGAAAAGTAGGAGGAAAATTGTATATCATCAAATATGTATAAACATAAAAATTACTTCATTCATTTTGAAAAATAATTTTCTTTGTTGCATTAATATAGTACAATAATATCGATTATTAAAGTGGAATGTTGTGATTTTTATTTATCAAAAGACATAGTAAACTCTTTAATATGATTTCATGCGACGATGATTTTATCCAACCATCGATTTGATGTCTACGAAGATTGAAGATTGAATATTAGTGTTTGAGGTTGAAGATTGGAGTGTAGGGTTAAAGTTTGGAGTTATAAAATTTGAATTTGAAATTTAGAATATAAGGATAAAATTGGAAGTCAACTCTTGGTCAATGACGGTTTATATCCATTTCCTGGCGGCCTTTAAACTTCCACAGTCGATGTATAATAGTACTATTTTTATTTTTTTTTACTAACAGACCAATCATTCAGTTTTCCACTAACAGTAGCAAATGATATACTGTTTTCCACCCAAAATAAGAAATACAATCAAATACAGTGTAGAGTTATATCACCATTCTTATGTCAATTGTGTTTAGATTTATTGAACAAAACGAAAAAATCGTTGGGATCCTTTCTTCTTAAGCGAAAAAACCAATCACTTTTATTTCTTTACAGTACAGTAATAATCTTCAAGGAGAACACACCACATGAGTGGATGAGATAAGCAGATTAACATCCGCCGCAGGATGGATTGTTGGAAGCGATCAAAGAGATTTCAAACTGATAATTACTAAAGACATGGTACATATTTATTAGAGTATAATTTAATTTTGATTCAACTGCCGTGACAATGCTGATTCATAATCGCGCCAACAAACATGGTTCTTGGATCTCCCCGAAATGTGTTCACATTCATCAAAGTTTGCTTAAACTTATCGGATGAAATTGCTTGACTTAATGAGGTGAAGTTCTTTCCGTGTGCATACAAAACTGCAGAGCCATTTCCAGTGTAAACATAAATGAATGAATCTGTGTTGAAAATGTGTAGAGCTTGTAGTGAAAACGAGCCGTTAGCGAAAAATAATGTCCCACACTACAGGGACCTGCCAATCAAACTTCAGTTTATTTTATTGAGCCATTCATTATTAAAAAACACCTTCATGATCCGACAGCTGACCTGTCCAGGTCACCGAATAGTCTGAATTGAGTCCAACGTTCGAATATAAACGACCAAAAAAAAACACTCTTATTTCAGCCTAATCTCATCATTACCTGCTGAGGAAAAGTTTATTACGTTAAGGATTCACTTACATTAATTTTAATTTACTCGATCATATTTAGGGGCGGTGCTATATTCCCATCTTATTTTATTTTCACATCGTAAAGTGGTAAAATTAGACTAAATATAAGTATTTTTTTCTTGATGTTTGAGCATGTAATGCCAAAAAATATATATATATAAAAATCTGCAGAGCAAAAAATGTAGTAATGTAAAAACATCATCCGATGTATTCCAGTCACCTGAAAGTTGAAACTCGTGATTTAATTATCATAAACTTTGTTTGTGGGTTGAAAACTGTACGATGCCCAAAGACTTCGACTACTGTGTTCTTAATGCTTTGATTTTAGAATAAAACTGTTTTTCCCCAGGTTCAGGCTGAAGGTAAATTTTGTCTAGTAGTAGTAAATGTTTCTTGTTTTACTCCTCTATCTCATGTAGGTTTTATATCCCAACACAAACAATCAAGATTTAAACTAGTTTTTGTACCCTAAAAAAAATTGACTTGTAGTAGTTTTTTCTTAACCAATAAATATCCTTTTGCTTTATAATGCGATAGATAGATATTTTTGTAAAAAAGAAAAAAGTAGGCCAACAACAAAAACAAATTCACGTTTCCTGGATTCAACTTTGATATTGACCAAAGAATGAAAGAAATTATGTGGAAGAAAACGGTGGGAACAGCACATATGTTGTTGAGCAAAAAGACTTTATGAAGAGGAACCGAAGTAATATATATTCCTACCTCCGTCTTAAAATTATTCCAATTTTAATTTTTATTTTTAGTTTAAATTATATTAAAAATGAAATTTCAAAATGGACAATAATTTTAGAACAGAGGGAGTAATATAAATGTTGTTAAAACTTGATCGTTCGTGCCTAAAAATGCTGGAACTAAGCAAATCGTGCAAGTAAAACGAAACCCACAATTAACCCCGAATTCGGAATTTGTGGGTGGACAAAATCCTTGAATTTAGCCTACTCTAGATTGTCAAACTTTTTAGGCACTTTATTATGGTTCCAGTTTTTATTGCACTGTCACACTTAGTGGTGGAAATTTACCACTTCGGTAAACTAATCCCTCTACTCGGTTAGTCGTGATGGTTTTTTCACGTTATGGGGCTATGGCGATTGGAGAGGCAGTTAGCAATTAGTTAATCACCAACTGGAAAGAAAGGTCAGAATAGAGCATTCAAAATTCTAATTCCCGTATCTAAACACGCAAAGATCACAACCCTTTAGTGCAAAACTGGAAATTGAAGCTATCACCAATATTTCAAACTGATTTTTTTTTTTTACCATTTCGAGAACTACTGGATTCACTCTTTACAAAAAGATAACAAACTAATAGTACAATCAGATAATCAAAATCAAACAAAAGAGTAACAGGAATAATACTAACGAACCAAATTTTGATATTTTGTTGACGTAGTTTCCAAACTTTTTATACACAAAAAGTAAAAAGATTGAGAAGGAAAAAAAAAAAGGCATACTCAATTTAACTACTCCCTCCGTCCTAACATTATTGTCTATATTGAAATTTTACTTTTAGTACAATTTGAACTAGAAATGAAAATACAAACCGGACAATAATGATTTGAACTAGAAATGATTTATTAGGGCCCACTCCACATTTCAGCCAATACACCAAACATTATTTTTCGGGCTTTTATTGATATTTTCCACTCCACGTACTCATTTTACCTCCCATTTATATTTTCCACTCTTCCGCACTAACTCCACTAAATCAGTGTTATTTTGCAGTAAATTCTCCATTTTAATTAAGCTCAAATTTGCCCCATTTTGTCATCCAACTCAATCTATAAAACCAGATTGAAACTCTTGATCAGTTCTCTACCAAAAACAGAAGTCTCTATCCCCTTCCCTTTAGATTTCTTTTCCCACCCATCATTTTCATTTTTCATCATCATCAATTCATTGCTCTGCATCATCCCCAAGATACAGAGCATCATCATGTCAACTCCAACTCCAAACCCATCTCTCTCTGTTTTCCTCCTCCTCCTCTCCGCCGTTTTCCTCTCTTCCATTACCTCCACCCTCTCCGACACCGGCTCCGTCGGTATCAACTACGGCCGTGTTGCCACCGACCTCCCAGGCCCAACCCAAGTCGTTCAGCTCCTCCAGAAAAACGGCCTCACAAAAGTCAAGCTCTACGACACAGACTCCGCCGTTCTCTCAGCACTCGCCGGCTCCGGCATATCCGTCACCGTAGCACTCCCAAACGAGAATCTCTCCATCGCTTCCTCCAGCCAATCATTCACCGACACATGGGTTCAATCCAATATCCTTAATTACTACCCCAAAACTCAGATTGAAGCCATTGCCGTCGGGAACGAAGTTTTCGTCGACCCCAAAAACACCACCCCTTTCCTCGTACCCGCCATGAAAAATGTATACGCTTCCCTTGGGAAATACAACCTTTCCACCATCAAAATCTCTTCCCCTGTTGCTCTCAGCGCCTTACAGAGTTCTTACCCTTCCTCATCCGGGTCGTTCAAGCAGGAGCTAATCGAACCGGTGATTAAACCGATGCTGAGCTTTCTGAAACAAACCGGTTCTTACCTTATGGTTAACGCTTACCCATTTTTCGCATACATCGCTAACACTGACACGATTCCGTTGGACTATGTTTTGTTCAATGGCAAAGGCGTAACGGACCCTAACAATGGGCTTGTTTATCACAGCCTTCTGGAGGCCCAACTCGATGCGGTGTACGCCGCCATGGATGCTCTGGGCTTTAACGATGTTAAGATGGTGGTTTCCGAGACCGGCTGGCCTTCCAAAGGCGATGAGAATGAGGTTGGCGCTAATCAACAGAATGCGGCGTCGTATAATGGGAATTTAGTGAGGAGAGTTCTAACCGGAAACGGGACCCCCTTGAGGCCCAATGAGCCACTTACCGTTTATTTGTTTGCTCTGTTCAATGAGAATTCAAAGCCTGGGCCTACTTCGGAGAGGAATTATGGCCTGTTTTATCCAACCGAGGAGAAAGTTTACGATATCCCGTTGACGGCCGGGGAGTTGGTCGCGCCGGCCAGTGCTCCGCCGTCGGGGAAGAATCAGGTGGTGACGAACTCGTCGTCCGGCGGAGGAGATTTTAACAGCAGCGCGGTGGGCCAGACGTGGTGCGTGGCGAACGGAGAGGTTGCCCCGGAGAAATTGCAAGATGCGCTTGATTTCGCTTGTGGTGAAGGGAAAGCAGATTGTCGTCCGATTCAGGAAGGTTCCACGTGTTACGATCCCAACACATTGGAGGCCCACGCCTCTTATGCGTTCAACAGCTATTATCAGATGAATGCCCGGAAAAGTGGATCCTGCGATTTTGGTGGTGCAGCCTACGTTGTTTCTCAACCTCCCAGTAAGCCACTTTTATTCTTTCATCTGAATTATCATTTATTATTTCATTTGAAAAGTTTATATTTTGTTTATATCGTCTAATTTATTGCCTTTTTTTATTGATAACTTCAATTTGTTGTCAATCATTATTTAATAGTGTTAGCTCGTTTGTCGCTTTTGAGTTGATTATAAGAAGAAAAAAGAATCATGATATAGCTTCAAAAATCTGCATGAAGTTTGATAATGCAATTCTGAATTTGACGGCATTTCATTATCTGTGGAAAAATTGTCTTACATTATAGACTTATGGTTTTGGTTTTGGTTCGTACTGTAGTCATTTCTCGTGTCCCTATTGATCGTATTTTGCATTATTTGGTACCGCCTTTTTTGACGATATAATTATGATATGTGTTTTTGCAGATTATGGGGATTGTAAGTTTCCTACGGGTTATTGACGAAAACGACATTGATGGAAGAAGGTTACAGAACAGATATGGGGACACATTTTTAGATAAGGATTTGTTTGGAAATTAGTTTTGAAGTATTCGGCCGTTTCGGCAATCTTGAGTTTTATTCTTCGTATAATAATTTAATTATTAGTGGTTATTAGTACCATTCAGTAGTATAGTTAGTAGCCGAGTAGAAATAGTATATACACATTCGATTTTGGTTGGGTTTGTTTTGACATCTTCTCTGTAACTACATACCTACCCGTGGATAAATATATGATGACAAAATTTCGTAAAGTTTTTGGTTCAGTTAAGTTCAGTTTGATGGTTTTCCTTTTCCCCAGCTGCGTTAATAATTGGTGGTTATTATTATATTGTTGCTATTGAATGATGATGAATGATTCATTTGTCCTCATTTTCGTGTTCGTATCCGTTTAAAAGCTTTAAAGGAGTTTTTTTTTAATTATTTTTATTATTATTACCCATTAAGCAAAAATGATGCAGTTTGTGGCTTTAAAGTTACTCTGTTGATAAAGTTGGCTTCCTCGACTAGATCTAGAGATTACCGACTTGGTATATAAAATCTCATTCATGGTCGGTTTAGATCCGAGTATTAATAATACAGTAAAGTAATAACTCACAGGTCATTTTGCAGAACCACAGTAGGCACAAAGAATGAAAAAAGAGTGCTTGAAAATCAAAATTAGATTGGGTGATGAAACGTTTTCGGAAGTTGGAGTCTGGAGTGAGAGAGATTGACATGTTACTACTATGGAATAGAAGGGAATTTATTTATACCAGTTGTTCGTTCGTTTAAAGGAAACTATCTCTTTATTTATTTATTACTCCCTCGATTACAAAATTATTGTTCAGTTTGTATTAGTATAAATTAAATTAAAAATAAAAATTTAAACTTGATAATATAATTTTGGAACATAAATAGTAAGATTCTTTTAGGAACATTATGTGCCCCTCATATGCAATATAGTGTATCACAAAAGTATTACATAGCTGTTGAGTGAAAATTTTCAAATTGGTCATTTTAAACGATGAATGGAGTTTTTTTTTTTTTTTTTGAAAACCCATAGAATGGAGTCTATATTGATTTGGTTAAACGGGTAGGTTTATTATTGGAATGTCCACCTGTTACTTAGAACTACTTTTATATCAATGTAAACTCTATAAAAATGTCATTTTTATGAGATCCATAGAGTAGTAATCTTTTATCCCAAAGAAAAAAAGTAGCAGAAAACAAATATAATGATCCACCAATACTTGTTTCGCCAAAGTGGTAAAGTGTTTTGATTTTTTTAAGCGAGATCTTGGGTTCGAGTCTCGTGAATGGAAAGAGCAATTTTAAGAGATCTTTCTCTTTGAGAAAAAACTGATCCAGCTCGGTGCAAAGTAGTGTGAGTGCACGACGAAATGAAAATCTAGCATTCGGACTGAAAACTTGCAGGATGACGCTGGTGACCCAAAATTGAGCGAAGTTAAAGTCTCAGATCAATTTGTTGAGTCCAAATGGGCTAATTGCATACATGTTGAATGTAAGAACCAAGGACCGGTCCATGACAAGGAACAAATTAGATTCGAAGTCCAATTTAAATACCTGGTTGGTTTTCTTTTGATTGGAAACCTTTCCATCCATTCTAGTAATACCGAAGGAAACCAGATCATTTGTAATGTGTATTCTTTCATCTCAAAATTACTGTATTTAAAAGAAAGTGCTATGTTTGTGACAAATTATTTTTTATTTTTTTAATTACAAACTATGGAGTAAGTTGTTTTTCATTAGAATTATCCTTAGAAAATGTTTAGATTCGATAGATACAGACATATGTAATTTCATATGTTAATGGGGTATGTATGATATTTGTATGTGTATCTATTCAAATAAGAAATTGATCAGCAACACATATATATATATATATATATATATATATATCTTAAAGACTAATTTCCTCTCAAGTTTTTTTATAAGAACAAAAACTTCCTTGATCGTCATATGTTTAAGATCAATGACTCATGGGTATAATGACCAAAAACCATCATAGTTATGACTACATTTTAATGAACAACATTCATAAATTGAATGAACAATTATACCCCTAACTTGTTTATAATTTTCAAAATATAAAGATAATATCACTCGGCAGTATTTCCTCAAAACTATAGGGAGCATTTGGTTTGCTTATGGATTTTACTATGAGGTTAAGTATGATAATATGAAGGGGATATTATCGGTATATCCATTCCAAAACAGTTGCTTAGAAATTAGGTTTAGGTATCATTTTATTTTTTACATTTAATTTATTTAATAAATCATAAAAAAAATTACTACTAATTTTAAATTAATAAATCTTTTAATTATAAATCAATTTGAATACTTAGATTTTTTTTTTTAAAAAAAGTAAATTAGTTTGATTGAGTTCCAATTTCTCTTATTCCAATAAAAATTTAATGCAATAAATAAATTCTAGATTTTAATTTCAATTCAAATCATATGTTAATCACTTAAATTTTTATTTAATGATGTTCGTAATTTAAATTTAACTAAAAAATTCTAAATAAAAACTTGAGTTTATAATTAAGAAAAATTTATTTTTATGATATAATAATAATAATAATAATAATAATAATAATAAATTTATATACAATATAGTACCATGAGAAAACAAAGAGCGGAAGGAAAAAAAGTTACAAAAACATGAATTAGATCAAAACTCGGCTACTTGGTGGATTTAGAAGATTTCTAGATAATTGGGTATCAATCCATTACCGTCAATCTAAAAACCGTCAACCAAACATTAGAAGACCGTCAGACACACATATTATTGCTTCACAAATTCAAACTTATTATTGCTCAGTAAATTTTTCTGATCTTACTCCTTTTTTTTAGTTTGGGTGCCAACAAATAATCAGGTGAAACTCAAGATTTAAAATTAGTTTTTTTCTTAACCGAAACCTTTGCTTTTTTATATGATATATATTTTGCGAATGATATGTTTTGTGAAAAGAAAGAAGTACGCCAGCAATAAAAACACGTTCACGTTCCAATTTCAAATTTGATATTGAGCAAATTAAGAAAAATGTGTGGAACAAAACGATGAAAACCACACACATGTAGATGTAAGTTGTTGAGCAAAAAGAGTAATGTGGCAATGAGGAACTACCTAGTTTTGAATGGTAAGAGCTATCCTGTTGGATGGAAATTGCAACATATTACGAATAAGGTGGCTAAAATTAAGTACTGTATTTAAGTCTGATGAAACTTTGAAAAGAAGAATTAGAGCACCGTTGATGAACAGAAATGGATTGCTTGGAAGCCCTGCGGCAAACATGAAACCAATCAACCAAATTATTCATGCAGCTTTTGGAGGCATTAAGAAGCTACAAGGGAGAGATGAATTGTGCAACCAAAACTTTGTGTACAGAGAAGCAAATTAGGCAGCTGACACGAGTTTAAGAGACTTGATCTTTTGAGGAACAATTAGATGGAAAGAGCTATTATCGGAAGTTAGAAAGTGGCTATAAATATATGATGTACTCGGGATCTCATATCATATATGAAATGCAATGGTATGAAACTAGGTTATAAACTGTCTTTCTGTGTATACCAAAAAATAAATTGTTATTGTTAAATGATTGATTTGTTTGTTCATGGCCCAATACATGGTCACCCATGCCAGTATGGTTGACCCGGATTATTCCTGCCCTAATTCGGAGAGTCACCACCCTGACCCGGAGAGTCACTACCTTGGCCCGACTCGCCTTCTTGGTCCGGTTCATCCCACCACCATTATCAGATCATCTCCATTGTCATCATCGTTATCCTCTCCACTCCCATTTCCATCATCGTCCTCCTCCTCATCTTGAACGTTCTCCTCCTCTTCATCTTCCCCTGCAACCGATTCTTCTTCAACGACCGCTACAGGTTCTTCAATATTCTAGCTTGCTGGTTCTTGAGGTTGAACCTCCTCTGCACCCTGTTTTTCTTGAACGACGACCGCTACGGGTTCTTGAACATTCTTGGCTTCTGGTTCTTGAGGTTGAACCTCCTCTGCACCATGTTTGTCTTGTACATTCTCCGCCGCTTGTTGATTTGTGGCTTGCACTCCACCCGTATCCGCCACCTTTGGTCCGGCTGCCGCCTCCCTCAGTAAAGCAGGGTGGATATGCGGTATTGTACCCCCTCCCAGAATAATGACGTTGGGAAGGAGTTGATTAAACTCTTCGTCAGTGCGAATTGCAAGATTAATGTAATTTGGAGTAATTTGTGTAGACCCATGATCACGGTAGACATTACCGGCGAGTTTGAGAACTTCAGGGACAAGATATTCAAGCGTGTCCACCGCCGTCCTGCTACCCTGCTCCCTCCCGGCAAATTCCTTCTCAATTGACGGTGACTCTCCCCACCGAGAAAATTAGCCCAGCTTTTGCATAGTGAGAAACTATTTTCAGAAGAATTTCAGCTCTCAGAAAAATGAAAATTGGGGTTCGAAAAAATGTGACAGCGTGAAAAATAACTAATAACTAGCGTCGAACAAAATTGAATTTGTTACAACCAACTTAACTTGGACGGTTAGACTGAAAATTAAAAATGAATTCTGAAAAATTGTGCAAAAAAGATGTGTAACGGTGAAACAATACAAATAAATGTTCGGTTCTCGTCGCCACAATAGTTGAGGAAGAGTTATTATGTTAAATTATTTTACCAAGATAATGGAATTATCATAAAGTATGTAAATGATTTGTTACACGAATTAAAGTTGTATAGTAAAGTACATTTTGCAGGCAATATTTTGAATAATATATTGCATACGTATTCTTTATCTTTTTAAAAATAATTACCCAATTTGAAATTTTGTTTTTGTATATAATGTAAACTTATAATAATGATTGAAATGAGACAATCATTTCAGAGACAGAGATAGTTAATAATTCGCCTTTGTTAAATCTGTATCAAATTCATTGAAACTGTTCTTTTCTATTCCATTTCTTATGTGTTTCTTTGCAAATTAGCATCTCCAAATTTCCAAATCAGTATTTTCACATTGGAATTATACATACCCAACTATGTGCGTACAAAAATGGAGGTAAATTTTCCCTCCAAAATTTCTCTGAACTTGGAATTGAATTGTAAAACTACAAGGTTGAATATATACTAAAAGGTGGCATTTCATGAACAGGTCACATCTCTGCCACCAATAAATGGCTCCACAAAAGACTCATCTACAGTATATTTTATGGAAGCCGAGAGGCAAAAAAAGAAGAAAAAAATCATTATTAAGAACACACACACACACATACATACATACGTACATACATATATATGGAGACACACACATGTATGTGCTTGAAGTCAGTTCTATACAAAGAATTACAAAATCCCAAAAAAATTGCACTCAGAACGGATTATGGCTTTCTATTGCTTGAGCAACAATGTTTCTCAAGTTCATGCCATAGCATACGTCTTGGTCGCACCAGTATAGCACTTACTGCATCGGTTGGATGAAATTGATACCACCAAATATGATTAGAAGAGTTTTTCCCTTGCACTAGAAAATATTATACAGTGTAAAGTCCACCTGAAGGTTTGTTCTTTTTTTTTTTTTTGGTACATAAGAGGAGGCCAGAGCCTGTATGGCTGCATTATACAACCACATTACGGGGATAGATACCCCTACTCAGTCATGGCGTAGCCATTGGAAGACTAACGCGGGGGGCCTATCTAGCTCTATAGTGCCCCATTCTTGTTGGTCCGTAAGGCCAGCCAAGCAGTCCGCTGCGTAATTTGCCTCCCGGTGGACATGTCTTAGTTTCGCCGTCCAATTTCTGTCCAAAAACTCCCTTATTCCTTTGATTAATGCCCCATGCGTGCCTCCCGATCTAGTTCTGTCCATAAGGTCACCGCCGCAGTACTATCCGTCTCGGCAATCACTTTCTTCTCCCCCAAATCCCATGCCACAGCAAGCCCTTGCCATATCCCCCAAAGCTCCGCCCCCGTTATGGAAGTAAACCCAATCCGCATTGTGAATCCCCTAATCCAACCGCCCAGCTCAGTTCTTACTAGACCCCCTGCTCTTGTCTCCCCCGTTTCCGGGTCGTAAGACCCATCGGTGTTTACTTTCACCCAACTCTCCGGCGGGTAAGTCCACTTGATCTGTAGCTGACATCTCCTCACGATTCCCCTTCCCAATTTCTTCTCGCTCATCCAAGCCATCTCAATTGTGGAGACTCTGTTCCTGATATCCTTCAATTTCCAGCCTATCGGATGATCTATGTCTGAGAAAACGAATTCATTCCGCCATGTCCAAATTCTCCATACTGTAATTCCAAAAGTCCGACCATTTCTCGGCTGCCTTTCGACCCGGTTTTAAAAGATTCTTTCATAACCAGGTCTGAATTTCATCCCCAAAAAAATCTCCATCAACATTGCTCATCAATAAGTACTCCCTTAACTGTCTAGTCACCGGGCACTCCCTTAGAGCCTGAGACACAGATTCTTTATAGCAGCTGACAGGATGACGAGTATAAGAGACTTACCTTTTGGGTACCAAGTAGATAGAAAGAGTTACTACCGGAATTTAGATAGTAGATATAAATATATAATTTAATCGGGATCTCATATCATATATGAAATGTAATGGTATGAACCTAGGTTATAAATTCTTTCTTTATACAAAAAAAAAAAAATATTTTTGTTAAATGGTTAACTTGCTTGTTCATGGCCAATTAAAATCGTTGCAAATTATTCAGTGGATTTGCAGTGGTTAAATTATCCAATGTGTGGAGTGAAATTGTGATTGTTCTAGTTATGACTTTGCTGGAGTTTTTTACTATCGGAACATTTTAATTTAATTTATGCTGGAGTTTTTTTACGATCGGAATATTTTAATTTAATTTATGCAAAGTCACTTTTTATTAACAAAACAAGAAAGGCGAAAAAAAACTCATGCTAGTAAAACGAAATTCACAATTTACCCCATTTCAACCGTGGGTTTGGACAAAATCCTCCAATTTAGCCAAACCTAGTAAAATGTCAAACCTTGAGGCACTTTATTCATCACGGTTCCAAACTCCAATACGTTTTCATTGCACTTCATACTCACCGGTGAAAATCTACCATTTCAGTAAACAAATCCCTTTACACGTTCAACTTTATAACTTAATTCCGATGTCTTATTACATATCTATCGCGATTTGGAGAGACAGTTAGCAGTTAGTTAATTACCAACTGGAAAGAAAGGTCGAAAACGGTGAGAGTTACTACTTTTGACAAAAGATTGAGGTGCAAAAGCTGTTAGTGTCCTCGTTTTGATTTCAATAACTTACTCTTTTACCGCTATTGAATATTGTATTAGTTAGGGCAAAGATAAAATAATTATCAACTAAAAAGCGATCCTCATTTTTACTTCCATATCAGAATTACAAAAAATTTACTACTCTCTCCAATCTGTTCTCCAAATTCCCATATTATCCCCCGCTAAAGAGGTTGAATTTTGAAGCTCAAGTGCTAGTAGACAGTGTTGATGGCAACGATTTGGATGAAGAATCGTGCTTGCTCTTTATACAGGAGTTTTTATGGGATCTTTGAGAATTTGGTTTTTGTTGACGTGTTTGTTTTTTGGGGGCAGCGGCGGTCTGGCTGCACCGGAATTCATTTGAAATTACATGGATGATATATATATATATATATATATATATATAATATAGGGAAATATATTTCAACAGATCCTCCTAACTAATGGGGCAAATAATTTACATGAAATTTGAAACTTTTCTCCTTCCATAAATTATATTCATTGAAGTTAATTATTCTTAGCACTTCACAATTGAAGTGTAAATCAGGATCCGAGGGGCGTTTCCTTATTCCGATCAGGAACTGGAAATGTGGGTATTTTAGCTTTCATTTATTTATTATTTATTTGCAACAACAACACAGTTAATATTGTCAACACTCAACATGGTAGTAAAAAATGTGGACAGTTGACGGTTTCTAATTGGAACAAACTTGTGTCAAGGAGAGTAAAGTCTTTTGAGTAGAGTTAAAGTTTGGCAGGGAGTATGCAATAGAGTTGGAGTAGTGGCAATTTTGTAGCATGTAGTTTGCCTATGAGTAAATGTACAGAACGTGCACTTTTGGTGATTTTTTTAAATAAAATGTTTACCTTTTCACATTAAAAATAAATAAATATATAGGATATATTGAAACACGAAACCATTAGATATTCTCTCAGTGAGAATATTCAACTTGATGTGCGGAATCCAGTGGTACAAGGGAGAAAAGTAAGTTTGTTGCGGTCTAAACTTGGAAGCTTGGTATGAAAACAACATTGAACCGCTTTATTTGTCAAGGGGTGAGTGCCTGTAAACTCAACCCTAATCAAAACAGGAATGAATGTTAATGGAGTTTGTGGAACTTGTGGCAATGCATAGGATAGGAGAACTTGGAACCTATCCCGTTTCACTGTAATTTGGCACAACTAGTTGGCACCAGTAAGATGGGATAATTTGCAACACAAGAAAAATAATTTTACTGTAAATTTATGATTATCGTTTGACAAAAAAAAAAGAAAGAGAAATATTCAACTACGTAATTTGAAACGACGAATTTAGTTGTGTAAATTCGGTTAAGTGGAAAGGTATTAAAATGTCCCCGTACTAGTTAGATCACTTCATCGATGTAAATTTTGTAACTGTCTCATTTTAATGAAGTTAAAAACAGTAACTTTTTTATTAAAAAAAAAAATGCAGAAAGATAAACATATTGATTTGAAATTTCGGAGCAATGAAAATCAATATTTGGATTGAAAAGTTGCAGGATGATTCTCAAATTGTGATTGATCTATGTCAGTCAACTCAGGGAACATGCACAAACTCCTCTTGATCCAGAGTTAAAGGTGAATTTACAACCTTCTGCATATGAATTGAATAGTGCGTTTTGGACATACAAGTGATGATAATAATTTTGTACCGATGCCCACTAGCGGATTTAGGGTGGGGTCAGGGTGCCCCGCTCGCCCTACCCTAAGCACTTATTATATACATATATATGTATAAAACTTTTATCATAATTGTGTTCTATTTAAATTTATTGTTTTAACAGTTTTTTCTTTTAATTTGGACTCAAAATGTAATTTTTTTCATTTTTTAATATAGTATCAGAGTCAAATGTAAGCAACTTTTGTAAAGTGTGAAGTATTATCATTCTCAACCGTTAGGCTATTTGTCTACAGAAAAAAAAAACAAAAAAACAAAAATAAAAACAAAAAGGGGAAAAGTTGCACGATGACGCTGGATGTTGGTGACCCAAAATTGAAGGGACGTTCTCTATGCAATTTGTTGAGTAGAAATTGGGCCAATTGCATTCATCATTGCAGGTAACGTCTACTCCATCACACCGAACAAATAAATTGGAAGTCGAAGTTAACAAGGCTGGTTATGTTTTGACAATAAACTGATAAAGCCCATTTCATTGTTGCGACTTATGTTGCCTCCAGCATCCACATTTGGTATCAGATTGTTTTCTTCTCTATCATGATTCATGCGTCAAAACGTTTTTTTTTTTTTTTGGTAGGAGTAACACAATGGTAAAAATGGAGTCACATATACAAAGATTCAGCTGAAGTTATTACACAAATCAGAACTGGATCCTTTATGTCCTTACGCCGTCACTGAAGAAACCCATTAAGCTTGTTTTATTCGATCCTCGACTAGTTTCTTGTTTGGAGAAACATACAAGATTGGGAAAATGAATATACCCAAAAATAAAATTAAAAAGACTAGTTTGTTCAATTATTATACACTCTTGAGTCGGGGAGTATGACAAGGCAAGAAGCAATGCAAGTATTGACGCAAATTTTAGTACACAATACAACAATATCTCTAACTTTGGGGTTAATGGAGTAATGATTGGTAGTTATCGTGTTAAATAATGTATTTCATTTGTACACACACCAAAATAAATTTAAAAAAAAAGAAGAAATAACCAAAAAAAAAAAAAAAGCAATAGAAGTGAATCAAGATTTTAAAAGGGGGAAAAAAACCGCTTAAAATTGGCAAAAGAAGCTGGAATTATTATTTGAGTGTTTGGGGAGGAAATTGTGCCGTTTCACGAACGAGTAACATGAAAGCTACCTATTGACCAAAGATCTAATGAAATCTGGAACTAGCTTGCATTTGCAGCCATGTCATCACCGTCACTTCACCAACACGGATATGCTCGTACGCATTTACGCACAATGGGTTTTGGCCATTTTTGACCTTGATGTTTCCAGACAAAATTAGGATTGATTGTAATTATCATAATTCAAATGTACGATTAGAAATAATATTTCATTAGTGTTATTGGATTAAAATCCCCCCCGTCACTCTTTCCAATTTCATAGTTATTAATATTCCCCTCGCTAGATTAATCTTTTTGTATATGAATTTATAAGGGTCGCCGATTTGATTCTTTAATAGAAGCTGCGGGCTAAATTGCATATATAGAGAGTCAATGCACAACGATTCAATTACACAAAAACACTGAACATCATGAGTAAAAGTGCGAACAAGAATATCGACCCCAAAGGGGAAAAGAAAAAAAGAAAAAAAGCATTTCCTCTCTAGTTCATAATATAATTCCGCCGAGATAAGAAAAACACTAAATAAATAATGACTAGGCTTGAAACTAATTCGGCACAAGTTGACTTTTCAAAATAAAGAACGTAAGGTAAGTTCTTCAGGCAAGTGGCAATGCGCAATGGTCATCTAGGAAATTAAAGAAGCTTCAAGCCACACAAAGTTATTTGGCGGATCTGTATATTATTATTATGGTTGTTATTGGATCAACGAAATGATACCATATAGTACATCTGTATGGTTTACAGCGCAAAACAGAAAAATTGGCAAAGCCGAAAAATGATAAGTCAAGATAAGCTCGACAGCCAAATTAGTGGCTTTGTGCGCATAGCCCCCTCATTAACCACATAATAATTTAATAAAGTCACAAAAAAAAACGCTGATTATATCACATAAAATATTTCGTCCTTCTGATTGAAGCTTTGAATGTGAATGTCAAAAACTTTTTCATTAGCTAGGTGTTATAAAGTTACTCTCAAAATGATTAGTTGTGATTAAGAAAATCTCTTTGAGATTTGAAAACCACTATAAATACTACCAATTTCATGATTAAGTTCAAAAATACATTGTACTAATTGTGTAACTGCATATGAGATTTGGGGGACAGTTTGTAATTTGTAGCGTTAAAATGTAGATTAGAGAATCATAAAATTAAATCCGCGCTCAATGGGGAAAAAACAAAATTTAACACGGGCGATTTTAGCGAGACATCAGAGTGGATATATATGCCATTTAGTAGTAATGGCACTAAACTAGTACAATCAGCTAAGAAAGTTTGTTCCAACGGTAATCTTGTGTTCTGCCAACAAGGGGTTGTGTAAGTGGTTGTGGGCGTGGCATTAAAATCTTAAGGTCCTAGGAGGTTTCAGGTTCAAACCGCGTCAGGAACACTTTAAATATTGCCTATGCAGGCTTGTAGCCAGGAGGTAAGATGCTGTTTCGGAGGTCAGCTTGTAGTCCAAAAGGGCGCGTAATAAAGACGTGCACGCGTGGAGTATCTCCCTAGTAGTAATATGTCCTTTTTCCAGTAGACCTCAAAAATATAATAGACTAAGATACCTATAATGATTTATATAAAAAAATAATAATCTTATGTTCTAGTACTAGAAAGAGCCTAATCAAACCACACTCTACTAGAACTATTCAATTCTTTTGTACGTAATAATAATGTAGAAATTTACAACTAGCCACTAGGATTCAATAGTATTTTGTAATAATAATACGTAAAATTTTACAATCATCAAAATTTATAACAAAAAGAAAATAAAAATGTTGTCGAAGGCTGTTATTACCTTCCGAGTAAAGAGAGATTTTCCCTTACAAGTATCAAAATAACCCATTCAGTTCATTTAATTGCACTTTAATCTTCTACCATGCTGGGCGCCAAACAAATAATTCACCAATTCCTACATACTTGGTCGGTTTTCCGAGTTTGATTAATTTACTGCACATTAGCTTTGTGAAGAATGAGAAAAAATAC